AAGAACTATTTCAGTTGTATTAAGAGGATTCCATTCATTAATCACAATTTTTCTCTTCCTTCATCTTTAAATTTTTGGAGACAGTTTGTTCAGTCAATTTTGGCTGTAAAATAAATGGGAAAACAACAATACAATTCTGTGTCTCCTAAAATATCCTCTGGCTTTTTTCCTATGAAACATGACACAATCCTCGCGTGCAGAATGGCTGCACACAGCGCACATGTATTTTGTACAAGACAGCATGTAACACCGTTAGGACTTGACATGGCATGAAATCTGGACAAAACACACCAGTGGCTTGGAAAAGCAACATGAGGTATTTCACAAATGCAACCAAGATACCTAACAAATACAACAAGAACAACACTGTTATGCGTCTGGTCCAGAAAGCAATGCTTTTAGCATATGTTGTTAATAGGAGCCTTAGCTGTGCTTGATCACTTCCCAAATAAGCTGTTTAAACATGAAGCATTAGACTAGAATGCTGAGCAGTTTTGCAGAGGAAGTGGGTTAACAATTCAGAGTATTAAATCCTGTTTGATCCGCTGAAAAATTCAATGCAGCAAGAGCATGATTTTACTTAATAGCATGTCAGGAGAGGAGGTTGCCAGAGGTAGGACGTTTTCCTCCTGGCTGAGGTTAGGCTGCCGGAGCTGGCCCATCTGCCATTACATGGAGTCCTGCCATTCCCCTTCCCCATGGTCCCACTCCCTTTTGCTCTGCGTTTGCACATGTGTGTGTGTATCACATCTGAGCCCCCCTTTTTTTTCTGGCAGCTGCTGTAGGTGTGTTGTTGATGCATTTTTGGAAGCCTCCCAAGGCACAGATACTCCTGGTCCACAAGAAGGTGCCTCATTCTCCAGGTGGAGGCTTCCCAGCTCAGGTACCAGGAATTACTGAAGAGAAGCAGAGTTTTTCCCTAGTGTGCTGATGCACAGGCACATTCACTGCTGTGGGCGCCTCTGAGGGCTGGCTGTTGAAACCATGAGTACAAGGGAGCCATACAGACAGTGTTTTCCTTTTGTACATACTCTGAATGTCACAGATCCACTTTGTGCCCCCTTGCAAAGTGCTAGAGACATGCCTAGGAGAAGAATCACAGAATTATAGAATAGTTAGGGTTGGAAACAACCTTGAGATCATCCAATTCCAACCGCCTGCCATGGGCAGGGACACCTCACACTAGACAATGTCACCCAAGATTCCATCCAACCTGGCCTTGAACACTGCCAGGGATGGAGCATTTATCAGTTCTTTGGGCAGCCTGTTCCAGTGCCTCACCATCCTCACAGTAGAGAACGTCTTCTTTTTATCTAACCTCAACTTCCCCTGTTTAAGTTTGAACCTGTTACCCCTTGTCCTGTCGCTACAGTCCTTGATGAAGAGTCCCTCCCCAGCATCCTTGTAGGCCCCCTTCATATACTGGAAGGCTGCTATGAGGTCTCCGCGCAGCCTTCTCTTCTCCAGGCTGAACAGCCCCAACTTTCTCAGTCTATCTTCATATGGGAGGTGCTCCAGTCCCCTGATCATTCTCGTGGCCCTCCTCTGGACTTGCTCCAACAGTTCCATGTCCTTTTTATGTTGAGGACACCAGAACTGCACACAATACTCCAAGTGAGGTCTCACGAAAGCAAAGGGGCAGGATCACCTCCTTCGACCTGCTGGTCACAATCCTTTTGATGCAGCCCAGGATATGGTTGGTTTCTGGGCTGCGAGTGCACACTGAAGCCGGCTTGTGCTCAGTTTCCCACTGACCAACACCCCCAAGTCCTTCTCCTCAGGGCTGCTCTGAGAAGGATGGAAAATTTGTCAAAACCTCACCACTTTAACAGAAAGCTGGTCGAGTTCCATTACTTTTAATAGAACGTACCTTTCTTTTACCGCTGCTAATGTAGAAAGCAGCTGATCATATTCTGTGGGGCTCACATTATTTTTATAATACTTTATCTTTAGAACAAACCAGAGCATATTGGTGTCAAAAATGGTAAGGATTTCATGGAGGAATACAAGCCATGGATTCCCATGGATTCTTTTCACGTCCTCCAGACCTCTGAGAGAAGATGAGTGCTATACTGTACCAGCAAACACATAGGTGCTTCTTAAAAATACAAAGGATTGTCATTTGTCACTTTAAAGTACATTCAGTACACACTTTGGGTTGTTAGACCGTTTCGTCATGCACTTGTGCAACACCTCATCCTAATCCACAGTTGCAGCTCTTTGCTGTAATACAAACAGTGATGATAAATTAATGTCTGTCTTGGCAATATTGCTACAGTATCCAATTATGAGAAAGTGTTTTCATTAGAGAAAAGAAATCAAATGGCAGATTCCACTGTCTCTCACCCTTCCTGTCTGTGAACAAGCTAGTCCTTGTTGTAAATCTCATATAATTTGACATGGGGGATGAAGCATTGTGGAAGCCCCCACCCTTAAAATAAAGGTATGCCTTCAGCAGTTATTTCTTGGGTTCTTTTCTAGTAGAGTTAACTATTTCAAAAGTAGAAGAAAAGGGCTCCTAGAAAACCAAATCAGTAGTTTCACAAGTAGCAAGAACCTGAGCAAGGCAGAGGTGAAATGCATTGCAAACATTATTCCTCTTTTGAACCCAAAATTGCTGGCACAGAAGTAATTATGTGTTGTTGTTCACCTTCTGAAGTCTGGGACTGCTTCCCTATGTGATACAGAGTAGACAGCCAGAATCCCTGGATAACCAGCTTCTGTAGCTGTGCTCTCACAAGGCAAACACTGCTGCCTCGGGCTGATCAGCCTGAGCTCACATAACTCTGTGGCTGAGAGCAAGGAGATGACTGGCATTGCTCAGAAGTACCTTACCAAGAATAAACATTCATGGAGCCACTGCTCTCCAGAGCTGCTCTCAAGGGCTCACTGAGTTTCCTGGAGACACAAAAATTGACTGCCAAGTAGCACTCCTGGCATCCAGGAGTGGTTGCATTGGTACTCTCTCTCAGCAAAGACCACGTGCTACCTTTAGGCTGGCAAAGCTTCTAGGCATGTGTTTCTGCCCATGCTACAGAGAGCCATGGAAATCTGTGGCTGGCAAAGGTTAATAACGTTGCTTCATTAGTTTTCATGTCATATATATGTCAGGATACTGTCATGAATGCACACACTAATTTTGTTCAGTGCCCTTACAACCTTAGAGAGAATGAAGCAGGGAGCCTTTGCAAGAAGCACTATTTGACATCTGCAAGCCTGTGGGATAGAGAGCTGAGAGAAATGAAAGGTGTCCCACATAATGTGTAGAAACTGCTAAGTTATAGACAGCAGAGGGATAGCCAAGACAGCAGGATGCACGGAGTGCTCACAAACAAGTGGAGGAGTGAAGACAGCACGGGTAGCCATACTTCCTCTTTATATCTCCCAGCTGCTGCTCCTTGGGCAAGCTCAGCTCACAGAACACGAAGTCTGCATGACAGAACAGCAGTTGGGAGATACAAAGGCAGGGATTTGAATGCAGTGTGTATTTTAAAACATGAAAAGACTGCAAGAGTCCAACCCCTCCTTGTCCTTTCCCCTGCTCAGGCTACCTTCAGCTCCATTAATCTCAAGGAAAAACTAAATTGGCCTTTGATCTAGGGCTTTCCTCTCTGGTTACCGTGCTTGGACTAAGCAGTGCAGGCTAACACACAGACGCTGGAGCTGTGCATTAAAGGCACTCCCATCCGCAGCTGGAGGATGCTACGTTAAGGGACTGCCACCTGGCAGCATCTTCAAGGAACTGCAAAAACGCTAATCAGAGACCGAGGCTGGTGCGCATCAGCCTCCTGTGAGGCTTGTGGGTGTAATCACCTTATCAAGGAGTTTCCCACTCAGTTAAAAAGTTGCTTTTACTTTGAGAGTAATCCCACTGTTTTCCCTCTCTTACTTCAAATTGGCTGAGGAAGCCTGAGCTGGTTGTGCTCTGTCATTGCTCCTCTTAGCTGAAAGCTAAGCTCTTGCTTTGTGAAGATAACACCCAGGGAGGAAGATCCCACCTTGTCCCCACTCTGCTGGACAGCAGAGAAGACCAAATGTAAAAACTTCACCGAAAAGATGAAAAGAACAATAAAATAATGTCACTTGGTCAAGACGTGGTAACCCAAATTCTTTCACTTTGAAGTCTTCAGTACAGTCCCCTTGCCTGTGCTATCCTTTCCTTTTTTCTATGTTTTGACAGGCTGGCTGATGAAGCAAGATCATATCCTTAAACACATGCTCTGGATTTTCCCCCAGAAAAGTCTTCTTTCAGCCCGTTTGCCTCATGCTTTCTAAAACAGCCAACTTTGTAAAGGAGCAGACAGCAAGCAGCAATTTTCACAGCCTTTCAGTACACTTCAGTTGTCCTGCCCTTTGGGAATTGTCCTCTGCTGCCCAATATCACAGGTAACAAACTTCCAAACTTTTATTTGTAAAGAGACACCTGTATGTACAAGACAAATCTAAGGTTTACCTGATTCTGAGTGCCTTTTGCCAAAAGCTGCTCTGTTTAGCAGGTGAAGGGCCCTTGACTAGTGAATGAACTCCAATCATTACTATTAGTAGTAGTAAACTTGGCTTATCTCTTCATAATTTATGTTCAAATTTTCATACAGAGGAAAGCCCAAGAGAGATTGAAAGCTGGAGAGATTGAGTCCCTTTTCATTTTTTAGAGCCAACACAAACAGTAGGCTAAGGTCCTGACCCGTATCACTAACACACCTCCAGCAGTGACCTCTTAGGACCATTGCTAGATGTGACAGTTCAGCTAAGCTTGCTCATATATTGAGGCTATGAAGAAGTTAGCCAATGAGTATCAAATGAACATTTTTTTCAAGAAAGATATGAGAAAAGCCTACTCTGCCACTTATGCAAGTCACCAGACAGACACTGACCTGGGGCCAGAGTTGGTGACCTAGATGTGAAAGCATCTACCCTGCATATGCCCTGTGTTTCCCAGATCCCTCTTATCCCCCAGCCCCATGGGGCTGAATTCAGCAGGAGGGACCGTGATAACTCACCACTCTGTGTGTGCATCATCAATCACTAGGAGGATCTTGGGTTTCTGGGCCACAGGAGGTGTGGGGCTGGCTGAGTGATCGATCAGTCCTGCAGCTGCTTGCGTGGTTTGCTTCATGGCACTGGAGATGGAGCTGAAGATGCTGGTGCCAGTAGAGGAGGAGTGTGTGGGCTGCGGTGGCTGAGGATGCTTTCTCTCCATAGCAGGAGAAACCGGGGAGCTCGTAGAGCTGTCGGGGCGCTGCAAGTCCATCATGTACCCATTGGGCAAATTTGCCACAAAACTACTGTCCGAGAGACGTCGCCGGAGGAAATTCATTGCTGCAGCGTTGTGTGGAAACCTTCACAGCAAGAATAGGGCTGAACAACAGTGTCACCAGTCCTGGGGAATGTTTCTCTGTGTGTGGAGGTACCTCCTTGCAGTCCAGCCAGGCAGGCTTTCCCACTTGAAATCCTGGTGGAGATATACACTAGTTTTTCAGCTGTATTTTCTTTCTCTCCTGTGGGAAGAGAATAAGAAACATGTATGTGAGATACACACTGTCAACATGAAATAAGAAAAACTCTTTTGGCTTTTAAATGGGTACCTAAGTCAACAATGAGATAAAAAAGGACTACTGGTTTCTATCCAGTATGCTACCCTGGTACAGCCAAACAGATAAGTAAGTTTCATGGCTCTCTCTCATCCCAAAATTTTCCTGGTTGAGGCTGCTTAGGTGCTAACAATTTTATAACTGCTCATTATGGACAAAGAAAAATTACTCACTGTAAATGTTAATTTTCAAAAGAGAGACAGCTTATTTCTGCTATTTTGTGTGTTGGAAATAGCACATGCTTATTACAGCATAACCAGCAAATGACCAAAGGGTAAAAAGTTGTATAATCTTTAGCAGGTCTGTAAGCAAGGCTCTAAACTTAAGAAAGGTCCTAAATTCAAACAAAAGGTAGAAAATAAAGAGCAGAAAAATACATGTCTTGATAAATTTTAGTGGCAGCTGCCCAAAGAAGTGATAAATGCTACATCCTTGGCAGTGTTCAAGGCCAGGTTGGACAGAGCCTTGGGTGACATGGTCTAGTGTGAGGTGCCCCTGCCCATGTCAGGGGGCTGGACCTGGACGATCTTAAGGTGCTTTCCAACCCAAAACTTTCTGTGATTCTACAATTCTACTTGTTACTGTCCTGCTGCTGTCTGCACTCAATTAGACTTTGAGCAAAGTGCCTGGTGCTGGTTGCTAACACAGCAGACGAGCTGATTTTACAAGTTCACTTGTAGGATTTTTGCAGGTACACAAAACTAGGAGTTTGTCCAATCCTCATATAATTTTTCTTCTGTTGTTGAGTTTTTTGTTTTGTGTTAAAAAGGAAGGTCTCTTATTCCGCTCATCTCTTCCAGCAAGAAAATGAGCAGTGTGAAATATAACTAGCTGGCTCTATTCCCTTGACTTTGATGATGATGGTAATGACTTTGTTTTCACACAGAACTCTTAAGTTTTTCAGTAGTTAAATCATCTCACAGAGGTAGGAGTTACTTTTAAAAAAATTATTCACTTGAAGGCACTGCCCAGAAATGAGATTTCCACAGTAAGTCTCAAGACCTTTTATCTGCTGACACAAACTTTGAGTCTTGACCAAGGGCTGGTTAATGAGATTGAAGGGAAAAAGCCCACAGCACATATTGCTGGTAAAACATCCATATTTTCCAGGATGGACATATCTGCAGCAACAAAAGTGAGAGTTATCCCATGCATCAAGTAGGATGAGTCACATGAATTCCTAGCATCATTGTTAAATCATGCCCTAACCCCCTTCACGTAGTTTTGAAGGAGCCCCCTACAAACACTGGAACTCCTTGCCTTCATCTGCCTGCTTTGACCTCCCTCACTGCTCACGCTCATGTCCTAGTGTCTGATTGCATCCTGATGTTTTTTCCCAGCTGGTCCGAGAGAGCTTGGAGTCTGTAAATCTTTCTCATGGAGCTGTGGCTGAGAGCTCATGGTGCAACCAAACAGCTTTCTTAAAATAAGCTGTGATTTATTCTCACCCATAAGGATTTACAAAGCTTTAAAGTATTCAGACTTGTCTATGTCCATAACTCTCTTAGCCCCCAGAGCCTTAGGGAAGCTTGGAAGAGCCTGCTGGGAGTCAGTGAGGTACGAAAAGCTCCTTGGCACATGTTCATCAAATCATCCATCACCACCCTGACCCCATAGGCACCAGATCTCTCTGGAGCAGAGGGCTCCCTGCTGAAGCTGCTGACATTGTATTATTAGAGCAATTTTCTTTTGATTTCTCAGCCCTGGCAATGCAAGTCCTCTGACTTTGCCAGAGCCTGGAGGTAGCCTTTTCCTAGGGAATAGCTCAGGAAATCTTTAATGACTTCCTGCCACATTTACAGTTGATAATGTATCTCAAGGCATTGTGCTGACTTCCCGCCTGGTCCTGGCGCACCCTGTGGCTGCACAACATCAGCAAACGCATGCAGTGGTGAGCACTTCAGCAGCGCAGACTGTTTACGCAGCCGTTGTTCCAAAAAACAAGTAACATACAGTACCCATCAGTTAAGAGCTAGCTACTTAGCTCATGTATACACCCACCTAGCACTTGGCTTGCTCATGTCCTGCCTCAGTAACTGTGAGTGCCACCATAGAACCACCCACTGTTACCTGTCTGGGTTGAACAGAGTGGTAGAGCCTACAAAGACTATGGGGGATTTATATGCTAGAGGCCGTATAAATATGCACTGGGATGTCCTCTGCTCAGGAAACGGTATTTTCTACTCTGTATGCTACAAATAAGAAAAATCCCCATTCTTTAATGACAGTCCACTCATTCATAAGTGCAGTCCTGGTTAAGAGGAGCATCCCAGAGATCTGTCTACCGTTAGAGGGTCTTCAAATGAGTATCCCGTCACTGAGCTTCTCTTGGAGGACCTTAACGTTAACTGTCAAGAGGTGGGATGTCATTTTGATACCAGTCTCAGGAGAATCTGTTTTAGGACGAGATGCTTGCCCTTTGCATGCTTTGCACAACACCGCAGAGCTGTCGGTTCCTGCTGTGGCAGCTCTCAGCCACGGGAGGGAACCTGGCTTCAGCCATACAAGCTGGACAACGCTCTTTTTCAAGCCAGCATCATCGGGATAGGGTCCACCAGGAGCCGCGTTCACTTAAAAGTGATTTTCTCTCACTGCCAGGTGCTTGCATTGCTGCTTCCTTCTGTGCAAGATTTGCACTTTCCAAAGCACATGGGCTCCTTGTAAAGTATCAGCAAGTAAAGCAACAGGCTAATGCTCTGCCCTGCACTGAAGGAAGAAGAGCATTGAGGCATTTGGCATAGGGTGTCCCAGGGCTGGGAAGGTTCAGGGTACCCTGTGAAGTGTACACAGGTGTTTTACAACACAGGTTTCTTTACAATAAACAACTGATCATAATTATTGCAAGGCCATGACCACTTGCCTCCTGGACAACAATATTTACAGTAACCCATCATTCTCTTCCACCAGGGGTTTGACAGTGGAAGATGTTGCCCAGGAAACACTAGGAGCTGGCAGAATTCTCCTGTCTGAAGTTTGGGATGCTGCACTGAGGCTGGCCTTTCCCTCTGTCGGCTGGCACTGCCCCTGCTTGCTGCGAAGACTTGGGCTGGGTGATGCTGGCTTGTGAAAGAAGGAGATAAAACCCAAGCAGCTGATGTCACGGGTAAATCTCTCTCCAGCAAGGCATGCAGAGGCTAAATTCAAACAGGATGGCACTGCTGCAGCAGAGTGTAATGACTGGTTCCACTCTGGGATGGGGGATGACAAACCCACCAGGAGTGTTGACTTTGGATCTGTCAAAGTGGTGACAGAGACTGTCCTCTTCTTGTTATTTACATTTTTCTGATGAGCTGGGTAATGTAATTAAAATAGACTTTCCATTTTTGAGTGAAGTTAGCTTTACTGTATTGATTTATTGATAGCCATTAGTGCTGCCACAGAGACCTTCTCCACGACGGGAGCAGTGTAAACTGTCAGTGGATTCCTCTGCTTACTGAAAAACCTCATGCTCTCTTTCTTCATCATGCACGCTTGTTGTTATTTAACTTTCAGCAGTAGGCATTTTCATATAGGTAAAGGCTGAGTAGGTACCTAATTTTCCTGCTGCTTAAAACTCCCTGTGGACATCCTGAGTGCTCAGCATGTCAGGCCAAATCTGGCTCTGTGCAACTTTCACGGCATGCAGCTCTCACACAGCAAAAAATCCACCTGGTGTATTCACAGATCCTATGCTAGGAGGCAATTGGGGCTGTAACTTCAATAAAGCCAGGACCTTACACCTCCTTCAGAAGCAAGACAAATCTGCCAAGTGGTATTTTGTCACTCCAGAGCCAACAGGTATGGGAGCAACTGGCTACACACCATCAAGTTGCACCTTGCCTCTGTGTACAGTAGTGTCTTCCTGTGGCTCACATGGAGACAAGGTGCCTACTTAATGCTGTGCCAGGCATAGACCCACCCATAGGAAGGCCTATAGCCCTCCACATCTGAATACAACACACAGGCTACTTCCAGGTGAGGCAGCAGGTCCTGTTGTGTTCCTCAAGCTGCAATACAGCAGCTGCCTTCCACCAGGCAGGAGTAACCTGCTCACGAAAGCCAGCAGGGAAAACAAGGAGGATCTGGGCCATGGAGCTGCAGGTCAGGGAACTGGGATATATTTCAGGATGGAGAAATAATAAATGAGGCATAGGAGAATGAGTAAGTCCTGAGGAAAGAAAGCAGGCAGGAGAGAGGGAGAGAGGAGGAGGAGGAGGAGAAAGTACAAGCAGAAAGGCAGGAAGTCAGCAGGAGTCAGCTTAACCAAAAGATGGTGTAGGAACACGCAGAAATGACAACAAGAGCACAGTCAGGGATTCAGAAGGAAACAATGTGGGCAACTAAGTGAAGCAAGCGGAAGGTCAATTAGATCTGACCTTGGAAACAACAGCAAAGAGGCTGGCACCGGCGGCCCCTTACTATCACACAGTTAAACTTCCTGGCTGATATTTTTGGAGTGGCAATGGAGGGTAAGCAATCTGCTTCCTCAGCACGTTGACAGCAGCCAGGCACCTACCTGCTTTTTCTCAAGGATGTACTCCACAGAGATGCAAGTTATCTCAGAAAACCTGTTGACATGTGTTAGAAAACAAGAACAAAACGTTCTCTTAAACCTCTTGTGGGGCTGCTTTCTAACGTGCGGTAGCATCTACAGGGAATCAAACTCAATTGACTGATGTCTGTTAACCATGCTTAGATTTCCCTGGAGTTTGTTATCTATGCTGTCAGGTAATGAACTGACACGACCATGCCAGCCTGCATCTGATTCCTGCTCTTAACAGCCTCAATGGAGCAAAGCTGGAGGTAGCAACATGAAAAACCAATGCGGAGAGATTATCCTCCCACCTCACCATAAGGGACTGCACACTTATTTCTGCCCCCATGGTGGATGGGAAGATGAGGAAGCCTTCACTTGGTAACAGCCACTT